GTTGAGCAACTACATACTCAGAGGAGAGACAGGGCATGTCAGGTTCCCAGAATGTACCCACCACAAATCACCCTCAGCCTAATCCAGATTTCACAAGTTCCTTCTGATCATTACAGAGTTCTCAAAATCTAATCTATTCCAGAACATTCTCAGACCAGGAGGGAACGAATGCATTTTTGTATCTTCCCTTTCTTCCGGAATCAAATTTTCAGTATTTATTTGGAAAATAGCTATACAGAAATCCCATTCTGCAAAACCAAGTCTTTTGTAGTTAATTAAATGATGATCTCCCACTTTTCTTTTCACCAGGTCTGTTGTCGTAGGTGGGCTTGTTTAATGTGGGGTACACCCATATGGGTATTTCCCTGGCAACAGGGTGTCATGGAAGAAGCCAGTTAATTACAGGATAGTTCATCGCCTTGTCCAGGTTAATAGTGGAGCCAAGTGCCACTTGCTGAGCCTTCAACTTTTCATTAACTCAAATCCCGGTTGTAACTTTCTGCTAGGGCCCGGAGTTCTGAGTTTCCTTAATCCACCAGACAGAAGCCACGCAACAGCAGAGGCTGTAAATACTCTGTCGGGGCATGAAGAATAACAACAATAAGACATTCATATTAGGAGAGGAGATTCATTCATCACGGTTTGTTTACCCTCTCAACAACCCAGTAGATTTGCTGTTGCTGTCTCTGGGGAAGCAGCTGGTGCAAGGAAATCAGATTGCAGAGAAAAGAATGTGAGCTTTGCAGTCATATGGGCCTCATTTCAAATCCTGGCCAAGGCCCTTCACTTCTTGGAGGGGACAAACCTGTACGGCGGCTCTGATTGGCCAGCGCCCCTGCTCTGACCCTCATTAGAGAGCCTGAATGTCAACCTGCTTCTCTGGTCCTCAGTTTGTCATCTGCAAAATGGGGGAATAATAATACTGATTTCATAGGATAATTGTGAAGGTTACTTGAGATCATATATGTGAAAGCCCCTTGTATCTGGTAGGGGCTCATTATGTTTGCTTCTTTTATATTATGATAGACTTTTTCCTTGTAGGGCTAATTTTCTATTAAGGTTTCAGAGAGGTTTCTTCTACTAAGGTTTCATGACTGACCAAGGCAAAACAAAGAGAGCTCATGAGGAAAGCCAGACTTTTCTCATTCTTGTAGAGAAAAAATTTCTCTCAGATAGATCCTACCTCAGGCTTGAAACCCATCCTCTTTTCCAGACCCTTCCCTCACTGTGGCAGAGGCTTCTCCCTGTCCCCTAATATCAGCCCTCCCTTAATTCTATGATAACACAAATTCTCACAAACACACCAAGTTGAAACTGAACCTATGGCCAATGAGAGAGAAAGACAGAGAGAGACAACATTTCTGAACATCCCTTACATATGACCATGTGGCAAAGTTCTCACCAGTGTGATGGGAGAGGAAGTGAACTGTGCACTTACCAAGACTGACTGAGCTTCTCTTTTCCCTTCTGTACTAGCTGGAATGTGCATAAGGAGCTGGGTCGCTGGCCTTGACCACAAAGATGAAGATCACACGCTGAGCAACAAGATAGAAGGAACCTGGGTCCCTGACATGCAACACAGCCGGCCTGGACCACCCACCTACCTCCAGACTGTTGCATGAGAAAGAACACACTTCTGCCTGGTTCCAAACCCCCTGGGGGGGAGGGGCGGAGTCTCTTACTACATCAATACACTCTACTCCCTAACTCACAATCTACCCCCTAATATATCCACCTTACCTTCTCAGAATTCATCTTCACAGCTTGCCTTGAGCAAGAACTGACAGGAGACAAGATCGGATGTACCTCTAGGACAGACCAGCCTTCATAACCTGGCCACTGGTAAACCATATCCAGCCACGAGTATGCTTTGGTTGATCCCTTAGTGTATTTTTAAAAATTTTAGATCTGTTGCCCATATTTCTAAAATTGAGAAGTTTCGCCTAAAAATCTAAACGTTCGGCTTTTCCTGAGAAATTGGAAGGTCTGGCAACCCTGGGCCACGTTCTTGCTCGGAAAAATCCAGCTGCTAGCCTGCTTCGGTTCATCATGGTCGATGCCTGTCACAGACATTGTTGTGCTCTTGGGTCTTGCCAGTTCGGGGGCCAATGACCTGACTTCCAAGACCTAGAACCTTTGTCCCTTTGCTTGAGGACTTTCTCTGGTCTCCTGGAGCCTGCCTAGCTCAAGGGACTAGAAAGTGAAAGCACTACCACCTCCAGAAGGCCCCAAACAACAACGGATGGGAATTGATATGCAAATATCACAGCTCCCTATTCCTCAGATCGGATACCTGGATGACACCTGTTACACTGGCCTCCAGAGTTTGCATCCCAGCTGTCCAGAGTAGAACTCACTCCATAATGCAGCTTTTATCAGCAGGCTGCTTTCCCTTCCCTGTCCTGGTTCCCAGGTCCCGCCCAACATTTCCCAGGATCACTTTCATAATAAACTACCTGCACTCAGCTCCTCCTTTCAGAATCTGCATCTGGGGCAGCCAAAGTCACCAGCTCCTTTAGTCTTCCACACAATAGTAAGCCTTTATCAACATGCACTATCATTTTTCTTCTGGCCAAGAAATGTTTGACCATATTTGAGCTTTATTAAAAGTGAAAAGAAAAGGAAAGATAGTTCTGGAAGACAATGTGTTTCAGAAAAACATAGGTGAGTGTCTATTTTTGTGGGAGTAGAGAATATTCCTTCATGTTTAACATGCAAATACTGGCCTGCTTAGTTCACTGACATTATCTGCCCGACCCTCAGCCCTTCATGTTTGCGATCCCTGGTTTACAGCACTGAGAACTCTTGTTAAAATTCAGGAGTCATTAGCCACTGACTTTGAATGAGGCCCTGAGATGAACTAAGCAGCCATGTGGGAGCATACTGAGGGAAGAGGCAGGGAGACCCAGAATTGTAAGGACCACAGTTTGGAGGAAGGGCCAACGGAAACTGTGGCACTTGGGCCAGGCAAAGAGGGCCCAACATGGCATCAGGGTAGGGGGCCGGAAGACAGCTGAAGCCTTTTCCCCAATCTTGTGAAAATCCCTTCCCCATAACATCCAAGGGGCTCTGTGTCCACACACCGTCCACCAGAGCTCAGCTCTCTTTATTCCAACACAACTTCTGGGTATGTCTCTCCTGACTTTGCAGGAATTCCTGGGAGGTGGAAGCTATAGGTATTCTCTCTTTATCCCCAGTGCCCAACAGAGGGCTTGCCTTCCTGTGGGTGCCTAATCAATGTTTTGTTTTAAATTTCTGTGGACCAGCTTGACCCTAGAGAGAGCAATCAGAATTGCTATGTAAGCCAGGGGGCGCTGTGATTCAATGCTCATTTCTCAGCTGGGGAGCTGAAAAGGTTTTTTGGCCACCCTGCAGTGATAAAGAGTGAACTAGTGGGCCCATACTATTTAAAGCCAGGAACATGGGCTTTTTGGAAAACTAGCTGTCTCTTACCTAGTTTACAATCTAGAGGTTTAAGAATGTGGGTTCTAGAGTCAGACTGTCCAGGTTGAAATCCCAGTTCTATTACTTACTAGCTGTGTGACCTTGGGCAAGTCACTGAACCTCTCTGTTCCTCCTTAAAAGATGGGAATTAAAGGAACTAATGCACGTAGAGGGTTTTGGAATATCCCTGCACAGAAAACCACTTAAAATCTGTTTGCTCTTATTGGCTCAGACTGGGGACAACAGGATCCTGGTTGAAAAGAAAACCAGGGGGGCTCCTGGGTGGCTCAGTGGGTTAAAGCCTCTGCTTTCGGCTCAGGTCATGATCCCAGGGTTCTGGGATCGAGCCCCACATCGGGCTCTCTGCTCAGCAGGGAGCCTGCTCCCCGCCTCCCCCTGCCTGCCTCTCTGTCTACTTGTGAGCTCTCTCTGTCAAATAAATAAATAAAATCTTAAAAAAAAAAAAAAGAAAAGAAAAGAAAAGAAAGCCAGGGTAGAAAATTATCTAGAAGGATATGTGAGTTCTAACATTCAAAGCCCCAGAGCTAGACATTAGGCACAAAGAACACATATTCCAGAGCAGGCCTTCTGACCTTTCCTGTGTTGGCATCCACTGAAATGATGGTCCCTTTGCAGAATAATGGTTTTTAAATGCACAAAATAAAATACGTAGGATTATGGAGAAAACCAGTTATATGGCTATCAAAATATTGAACAAATCTGTGATATAGTGATACTGGTGCTACTTTATTAACACATTGAAAAACAAGATCCAGCAGCAGGTCTAATTACTACTGTAATTTTTAAATAGAAATGAACACAAAATGTCATTTTCAGATATCTATGACACCTGTAATGTGATATGGAAAGATTTCAATGTATCACCAAGTCAGAGGCATGACTAATATAATTTTGAACAGAAAGAAATGCTGACTTCCATTTCTAGATTAGTAAATATAAAAATTAAGGCTTTTTCTCGTCCAAGGTAAGAACCTCTTTCCTAGGCAGAGCCAGAAAGAGCAAGCCCAAGAGTGCATCCGGGCTTCTCTCTACCTTGTACAAACAGACATAGGAGATCCAAGCCGGACTGTGACTTCTGGAGGTGGGGTGGAGGGAGTGTGTCTCCATCAAGTCAAGGGAGGCACGTTCCAGGAGAGTAGCTTATAGAGACCGAGAGGGCACTTGCAAGGGGAGCTGGGGGCCTCACTTCCTGGTTGGACTGCCATGAACAGAAGGAATTTCAGACCTATTCAAGAAGGGCCAGGAGAGAACTGGAGACAATGAGGCAGAGAAAGGGTGCAGCCAACCCTCCCACCACTAAGGGGGATGAGCCAGGGAATCTCCTTTGGTGAAGAGGACCCCACAGGCTTGAGTCTCAACCGGGAAGGAGGCCCCAAAGCAAGAATCCAGAAGCCAGTGGCTAGGGATGGAAGGGGGGTTCCTGCTGAAGGGAAAGTAGGAGAAGGTCAAGCAAGAGTGGTTCTCTGATGCTGGGGAATGGTGCATTGATGAGAAGCTCCCCACATCCCACTCTGCCCACAAACACACAAACGCACCTCAAAAAAGTCTCAAACGGAGTCATTTGGAGCTCACCGTGCAGGCAGGAGAACCAGTGTTGGCTGAGAGAAGACAAACGTGTTTCTTTTCTCCAGTTCCTTTTCCCTGTCCCAGCACACAGACCCCAGGGAGTATCTGTCACAGAGTCTCCCGGGTGAAGGCTGTCCCAGGGCCGGCCACCGTGTCAGTGATGCTCCCGAGTTGCCTGATGAGAGAGGAGGGGGAGGAGGTGAAGGGATCCTTTGGGCAGAGCAAGCTCTCTTTCCCCTTCAGACTCCCTCAGGCTGAGTCAAACCGGGGCAGGGCAGCAGGGAGGAAAGGAGACTAGAAATTTAAGCTGGACCTTTCCAAAGAGAGCAGACGCCTATGGGATCCATCCAGGGTGTCATTAAGGGACATGGGAAGAAGTCAGATGAGTTGAAGAAAAATTGTCAAATTCATGTTTGTGCTTTATCATCTTCGGACTCGTCAGGACACGGAGTACTGGACCTTTCGTCAATTTTGCAATTTGGCCCCCACCCAAATGCTGTCAGGGGCCCTGGGACTCACGGGGAGAGAGGTTCCTTCATCTCCTCTGAAAACATCAACACCTTCCTCTCCAGAGCCGGATCTCCAGATCCAATGGAGATCCCCAGAGATGGAAACACTGTTAGAACTGCCTGGCTGAATGGCCCTTCCCTACCCGGGCCCCAGCCATCCCCCTGCGAGGGAAGCAGCTGGCTGGAGTCTGCCCTGACCACGGTGATCAGGGCCTTCCAGAGAAGATGGAGGAATGAAGGAGTCCACACTCCAAGAGACAATCCCAACTCCATGAGTTGAGGTCACTTAGTTGCACAGGCACAGAAAGAAGTTCAGGGAAGTACATTTTTCCAGAGACAACCCTCCAGTGGGGGCTGGGAGGGGTGTAGTCAGTCTCCCCTCCCTCTTGTGGGACGATGCAAAGCAACATTCCTTGTCTACAGTTCCCCTGCGCTGTACCCAGTGGGTCACGAGAAAATAAAGCACATTCTCAACTCCTCTCCCTTCCCTATCGCATTCCCCCTCCTTCCTGCTTCCTGGATCACTTCTCAAATAAACTATCACGCCCTCATCTCAGGACCAGTTTTTGGAGGGACCCCAACTAAGACGGTCATCCTCCCTCTAGCTGGACCAAAAAAAAAAAAAAAAAAAAATCAGGCTTCCTTCAAGGGTTTCCCAACTCCCCCCGCCAAACACACACACACACACCTGCATGGCTTCAGGGCTGAGAAAATGCAAGTCATGGGAAAAAAGCCAAGGAGTGGGGGTGGAGAAGAATCATGGCAGGTGAGGAACATCATTTGGAAATTATAAAATTAAGTAGCTTTAAAAAGAGCAGAAACCTGCTTGGGAAATCACCGAAAGAGCACACATTGAAATATGTGCTCAAGACAGTGGAGAATCTGTCAACTGACAAGAGACAGCTTTGGGAAGAAAGCGAACCAGAGCGGAGTGTCAGGCAGACAGATTGGTCCAATTAAGGACGGAGAGGCTAGGGAGGCGGAGTGAGTTATCGCGTGCCCCGTGGGGGGTCTAGGAAAGCTATTCCCAGCAGGATAGATGGGCCCTGAGAGGAGGCCTGGCGAGAGTCTCTGAAGTGTCCCTGTGCTCTGCCCCCAGCGTCGGGAAACCCGGGGTTGAGCAGGGATGAGAGGCTGTGTCTCTACGGCCTTGGAAGCTGGACTGCTGATCGCTCCTGATTCTCCGGAATAAAAGGGGGAGAGGGCGGGGACTCTGCTGGAAGCCTCCCCTTGGAGATGCGTTCATTCAGCAAGTGTTCACGGGGTTGGCTGTCTACAGTCAGTACTGCAGCATGTTAGGGACGGCACTCCTGCCCCAGGAGCACCGTGGTCCTTCCTAAGAAGCTAGCATCAAATACATCCGCTAACACCTGCTACATGGTGGGGGCTAGTCATCCTTATTTAATCCTTACAGCCACCTCTGAGGTAGGAACAACATGATCGTTGTGTCAGAGACGAGGAAACAGAGACACAGAAAGGGTAGGAAAATGGGGTGACAACACTGGTAAGGAGTGGGACCAGAACTCAAACCCAGACAGTCTAGCTCAAAAGTCAGCACTCTGACCCACCACAATTTATTCTCTCTTCTACTTAAAGATCTGACAAGTCCTGCAGGCAGGACCAGCTACAGAATGAGCAGGACCCAGAGCAAAGTGAGAATGCACAGCCCTGGCTGGTGGTGGGGGAGTGGATCTCCTCTCCCCATGGTGCTCCAACCCAGAGCAGATGGGTGACCCCTGAGGAATTACAACCTCCTTGGTACCTGGGTCAGAATTCGGTGACAGGCCCCCACTGAGAGGCCTGCTAACTGTGCAGGGGTTCTACCAGCCCAGCCCTGGGAAGGCTGCCTCCTTGCCCAGCCCTGTGACGCCAGGGGCAGTCACTGACTCTAGCCCTCCCTTCCCATGGGCCCAGGCCCGCCAGGACAGGGAGGGTAGCAGCAGAATAGGGCCTCCCTCCCAGGACTCTGCCAATGCAAGCCAGTTGCTCTCCTGAGCACCATGATCTGGGTACCGTGGGGACCCAGTTTCTGGGCAGGGCAGAGAAGCCGGCAGCCAAGAGCTTACCCTAAGGAAGCAGGAGAGGGGCACTCTTGTGAGCTGAGACACCAAGCCGCTGGCACATGCTCTCTTGTCCCTTCAAGTTTCACTTACAAAGCACATCGTCAAACACAAAATTATTAAGAATTTCAAGACATGAAACCCTAAGTGTAGGGTCCTTCTTAACAAGCGGCCCAGTGTGGCTGCTTGGGCAATAGCCATGGGGCTGGCCCTACCTGCCATCGTGAAAAATGGAAAACAGTTGGACTTTACTCTACACAGTTCTCCATACTCACTTCAGCACGGAACCCCTTTTGGGCTTAACAGCCCATGGTGCTAGTGTCCCAGGGACCTCCCTCTTAGAAATGTTATATCAGCTCGTTCAAACCTCGTAATAGTCACGTGACTCACAGAGAAACATCACCACGTTTCCCAGAAGGAGAAACTGAGGCATAGAAAGGAAAGTGTTTTGCTTGAAATATGATAGGTATTGGTAGAGCTGGCAGGTATTATGGTGAGTAAGGGGCAGCACTGACTCTCAGACCCCAACATCCAGCCTCCGGATCCTGTGCTCTATCCCTGCAATGCACCAAACTTCCCAACCCTCCAAGATGCTTTACACATCCTTGTTTGTCACTCAGGGGAAGGCCGTGACACTGGCAGATAGCCAACCCGAAGCCAGTATTTATTAGGAAATCTCCAGACGTGCCAGGAAATTACAGACCAGCAAATTAGTTTAGTCATTTCACTAGTTTAAGGAGCTCTTTGCAAGCTCTGAAAAAAAAGCACTTTCAAACACAGGTTGTTGGAAAGAGTGTTTTTAGTGCCTTGAAGATGCCATGTTATCTTGAGCATCCAAAGGCCTCCTTGAGGAAGACAATTCCCATGAGGCTAAGAAGAAACTTTAGTGATGCTTAAAAATACCACCAGAGCCTTTGAGATGGTCCCCAATGACCCCAGCCTTCCAGTATTCACAACTTTGTGTGCCCTCTCCCACAGTGCATACAGCTGAACTGTATAATCAACAGAATGTTGCAGAAATGATGTTCATGGTTTCGAAGATGAGGTCAAATGAATGTTGCTTCCATCTTCCTCCTTCTTGGATCACCCACTCTAGGGGAAGCTGGGGGCTGTATCCTAAGGACACTCAAGCAACTCTGTGCAGAGGTTCATGTAGCCAGGAGCTAAAGTCTTCCTCCAACAGCCATGTGAGTACACCATCTTGTAAGAGGCTCCTCTAGCCCCACTCAAGCCTTCAGATGACGGCAGCCTGGGGCCAGGGTTCTCACTTCTGCTTCATGAGCAGAAGCACCCAGCAAAGCTGTTCCTGCATCCCTCATCCCCAGAAGCCACTAGATAATAAATCTCTGCTTGCTTTAAGCCAGGAAGTTTGGATTTATCACACAGAGATAGGTAACTAATACACTTCATTAAAAAGATCATGAGAAACCAGCTGGTCTGAAGTAGAAGGGGAATGGTCTAAACACAGTCACATCCTTCAGGTCATTGTGTTCTCTTGTTGCTGCCACTGTCACTTTAAGAAAGCCCCAAGGGACAAAGGAGTCAGCAATTTTGGGGGAGAAGGGGAGGTCTGGAAGAGGACCTCAGGTCATTATCTGAGGCTTTTATATAAGGTTGCTAAGGTGGCACATAGCATTTTGTGGGGCAGTATGAGACCACACACCAGAGGGAGAAGCAGGATACGCTCTAGTTATGTATCTTACAGCTATAAATTATTATCCAAACAAAACCCCTAGCTAGTGATTGAGCACTCTGCATGCTAGGCCCTTTAGTTTTGCTTTTGGTTCTTTAGCTAAATTAACACTCACAAAAACGCAGTGACACGGCACCTTGGTCATAACACATCCACTGCGAGTGACAAAACCCAACTCAAACTGGCTTAAGCCAGAATGGGCACTGATGGCCTCATTAACTGGGAAGTGCAAGGGATGTTCCAGGCTTCATGAATTGTGGCATCCAGAGTGTGAAAGTTCTTCCTTTCTCTCTCTTATTCTCTTCCCTCACTTATTCTCTCTCTCTTTCTCTCCCTCCCCTACTCATTTCCCTGGGCAAGCCTATGCTCTTATAGCTCATTATTTTATCTTATTTTATTTGGAGGGGTATGTAAAAATAGAGAGAGGCAGGGCTGGAGAGAGAGGGGGAGAGAGAGAGAGAATCTTAAGCAGGCTCCACACCCAGTGCAGAACTCAGATGTGGGGCTTGATCTCACAACCCTGAAATCATGACCTGAGCCAAAACCTAGAGTTGGATGCTTACCCAACTGAGCCACCCAGGCACCTCATCTTATAGCTTATAATCTAAAACCAAGAGAGACCCTCTGCTCCCAACAGCCCCAGATCAGATCCCATGGTAGGTCTCTAATAGGCCCTACTTGGGCTACACCCTTATACCAAAGCCTGGGGACAGGGAGATGGGGCACCCTGATTGGATGGGTATGCATCATGTGTCCAATGGGTAGATGAGGCACAGTGATTACCAGTGCCACCAGAACCACATGCAATGTTAATTTCCTAATTAACATGAAAAAGGGATGATAGGCAGACAAAAACAACACATTTATTACTATTATTATCCTTGTTTTACAGAAGAGCAAACAGTCTCCATAAAGATGTAAACCTGTCCAGGGTCTCATAGCTGATAAACAGCAAAGCCAGATCTGGCTGACTCCAGGTCCAAAGTTCTTAGCTGTCCACCTTCCTCATCGGATAGGGTCCTCTGACTCACCAGGAGGTCTGCAGGCAGAATAATCACCCTTTGGGGAAGGCAGACCAGTTATTTGACTCCAGTCCAAGCCCTGGGACACTAATGTTGTGTCTGGCCCAATCTGCTTCTTCCCGGCTTACCGAGATCACCTAAGACTAGAGAAGGCTCACCCAAAGAACCTGTCCCGAGCTTGACTACACCAGCAGCCAAAGCAATTATGACATCTCTGCCTCCAGGTGAAACTCTTCAATAACAGCACCTTGTTTTTGGAGCTAAGACCCAAACTCTCACCTCAGATAAGAGCTCTGAACATCTGACCACTGCTGACCCCTGGCTCATTTATTCCACTCTCTGTCCCAGCCACACTATTCTTGTCAAATTTTGAGAAAGTGACACAGAATGCTTTCTCTCACTTGCTTCCTCTCACCCCAGGACATTTGCATATTCCGTTCTCTCTACTGGCATTTGCATTCCTTTGTCTCTGCCTAGAGAATTCATCCTTCCAATCAGCTCCTCAAGGAAGCCTCCACACCTCCATGGTCAGGGTCACTCCATCCACTTAGATCCCCATGGAAATTCAGAACTTTCATTGAAGCTATGAGAATACATTCATTTGTGATCTATGGTGAAAATCTGCCTCTCACAGTAGACTGTAAACACATCAGAGCAGGGATAATGTCCTTTTTTCTATTTACTATAGATAGCACTTAGCCCAGGGCTTGATGTAAATAGACCCTCAAAAAATAATCATTAAATAAGTGGTAGGAAGAAAGGAAGGAAGGGAGGGAGGGAGAGAGGGAAGGAGGGAGGAAGGGAAGGAGGAAGGGAAGGAAGATGGGAAGGAAGAAAGAGAAGGAGGGAGGAAGGGAGGAAGGAAAAGAGGGAGGAAAGTAAGGAGGAAGGGAGGGAGGGAGGAGGACAGGGAGGGACTTGCCATGCCTCAAATTAGAGCTCACAGAGTAAATCACAAGTATTTCCAAGATGTTGATTAAACTCTTAAACTAGGATGAACATGAAGAACATGAAACTATTGCAAGCATTAGAGGATTTATTGGCTGAGCCTGGCTGCTTTTCAGTATTATTCCCTTCGTTCACATTTCATTGAAACCACAGGGTGAACATTGTCGGGGGAGGGGGCAAGTGGATGAAAAGGAACAAGAAGGATGGAAAGAAGGAAAGAGAGAGGGGAAAACAGAAGCAGGAAAAGTAAATAGGGGGAAGGAAAGAGAGAAGAAGGATGGAGGTGAGAGGGGAGGAAGTGAGGAAGAGATAAAGCTGTAAGAGGAGGTGGGAGGGAGAAGGAGAAAGGGAGAGGAAGGAGGAGGGCAAAGAGAAAGAACAGGAAGAGGTAAGTAGAGTGAGTCAGAGGGAGGCAAGAAAGGAGGGAGGAGGGGGAAACCCATCTAAGCCTGAGAATTCCAAATGAGCAGGGCTAGGAAATGATGCTGGGTGGTTCTGGCAAGCCCTGAGCTGTAACACGCAAGCCCCGCCCTCCAGGAGATGTCATGCTATGGGTCCACGCCAACAGCGAGCCCTCTGACTGGAGGCTGGACAGAAAACGTGATCCACACAACTGAAGCCTTTAGGTAGGAAGCATACTCAGAAGAAAAAAAAAAAAAAAGGAAACCAAGATCACAGCTGATATGGGGAGGAAGGAGGAAAAACAAAGAATGTGTCACTACCTCCCTCTGCCATGGGTGACCCATGGAGTCCCCTCATTGCCTCGGAGACTTCTGGACCTCTGTTTTCCCTTCAGGTTGTGGTGACAGGATGAAGGGATGTTTATTGCTAACACAGCAAAACCTGGTCCAGAGGCCAGGAATCTCGCTAGCATGACTAATTCGTGTTCTGAACAAATGAACACGAGTTTGTACCGGTGGAGTGGTTGTTGCACACAGCAGGGTGGTGGGGCCAGAGGGAGGGGAATCTGGAATCAGGCACTGGCTGTCAGCAAGTCACTGGAGGCACAGACACTGGACACGGAGGGATCCCTGCAAACGCCCCGTCTCCCTGCGTAGGCTCTGGGAGCTTCTCCTATGAACGATAATAAGCACGTGTGTTGCCTCTGGGCAGTGGGAGAGGGCCTGCCTTTGGCACAGCATCTGTGCACTTCAGGTACTGTTTTTGAGCAAGGATGGATGTGCAAAAAGGTAAGACTACAAGTTGAAACAATGAGCAGGCTGACTGTGAAAAGGGGAGGATTCCTAAGGTGGGAGCATCTTGGTGAGTGAAATGTCCAGTGAAATGCCTGAGAAAATCAAGTAAACTTCCTCCACCAATCCCACCCCGAGGCCCCATGTCTTGGCAGTTGCCCCTCTTGGGACAGCTCGTTCAGCACTGGAATTCATGCAACTCTTTCTGACAAGAAAGAAAGAAAGAAAGAAAGAAAGAAAGAAAGAAAGAAAGAAAGAAAGAAAGAAAGAGAGAGGAAGAAAGAAAGGGGGGAGGCAGAGAGAGGGAGAGAGGGAGGGAGGGAGGAAGAAAGGAGGGAGAGAATTTGCTGGCTCAGGTAACTGAAAAATCCAGGGATTAAGTGTCTTCAGGCAAGGCTGGATCCAGGAGTTCAAGAATTGTCATTAGAACTGTTTTTCTCCCTGTCCCTGATTTGCTTTCCTCAGTGCAGGCAGGCTGTCTCTATGTGAAAGCCACCCCTGCCTAAAGAGTGCGTCTCCTCCCCAATAGTTTCCAAAAAATCTCAGCCCTGAGTCTTATTGATGGGGTTTGGGACAGGTGCCACCGGTGGAACCAACGAAAAGGGTTCAGCCCGCCCCAGACTGGGATGCTATTAGCCAAATGCTGATAAATGGTTCTTGTGCAGACAAAAACAACAGATGTGACCACAGAACTGTGTTGATGACTGAAAAATGAGAACGCCCCTCCCCCAAGAATTTAAATACAAATGCTGGTTGCTAGGGAGGGATGCAGAAGACAGCCCACACATAGGTTATTTTCTAGGACAGAGAGAGCGGAGTGGGAAAGGTCCCTCCTGGCTGCTCTTGGGGAGTTTATTGGACAAATCCATTCCAGTGTTTCCAGAATTACCAGACCTGGAAGGAGGCAAGTCAAGACTTCACTAGAACACTATTCATTCATGCTTTGAATTCATCACGCTCACCTCCTCTTTATCCCTCGACTCTGTCATCTGGCTTCTTCCTGTCTCTCTCAGGGGAGCTGTCCTTGTGAGAGTTGCCAATGACTTTTCTTTTGTTCAGTCCTGTGGACAATGTCGTTCCTTTCCTTCAGTCATTTCTCAGATCACTGGGTACCACTGACTGCCTCCCTCTTTGAAAACTGCTTTCTCCATGGCTCTCTGCCCCTCTGTTGTGCTCATTCTCCCACTGCCAGCCCATGCAATTCCGCTGGCTTCAGTTTCCATCTCTCCCTCGGTCCCCAGGCCAGATTCACAGCTCAGACCACTCTGCTGAGTTTTGGTTTTGTGAATTCAAGTGCCTCCTGGAACCTTCACTCAGGCAATCACCCTGGAGTCTTGGACTCATCATGCCCAAAATACTGAACTCCTCACAGTGCCCTCCCCGCCCCAAGGCTACTTCTTCCCTAGGGTTTCTTGGCTTGGGGCCCAGTACTGCCAGCCTCGCACTTGCCTAACCCAGAGACCGAGAATTGGCCCAGCCTCTCTCTTACCCCCACATCCATTTCATCATTTGGGCCTCCTTGGAAATACCCCTATTTCTCACCGTCCCCACTGTGGCTCTGGCCTCCATCATCTCATGTCTGGATTTCTGCCAACCATGCCCCAGCGAGCCTCCCACCTCATTCCACTCCAATCCATCACCCACTCTGCAGACATGCCCTTCTAAACACAAATTTTGTTGGGTTGCTTCCTACTGATTTTAACGGATAAGTCAGACTCCTTGGGGTGGCCCTGAAGGCCTGGTTACAACCCAGGCCCTGCTTGCCCCTCTAGCCTCACTCACCCCTAGCCATTCTTTTCTCAAACTCTACACACCTGCCACACCGAATGATTGTCTCCAATTCGCATAGACTGTTCCCTCTGCCTGGAGTGCCCTTCCTCTTGCCTCTTCACTCAGCTTCCTCTTGCCTCTTCACTCAGCTTCCTCTTGTTCATCCTCTAGTTCTCCTCTTACAACCATCACTCCCCCCCAGCACAATTTTTCTGCCCACTCCAAGACTTAGTTAAACGCCTCTTCCATGTGTCAAACATGAATGAATGAATTAATGAATCAATCAATCAATCAATCAGCTCTCTAGAGAAGATGATGGAGGTATTCAAGGTCTTTTTTTTTTTTTTTTAAGATTTTCTTTATCCATTTGACAGAGAGAGACAGAGAGCACAACCATGGGGAGAAGGGGGCAGAGGGATAGGGAGAAGCAGGCTCCCCACGCAGCAGGGAGCCCGATGCAGGGCTCCATTCCAGGATGACCCAAGCTGAAACCAGACACCCAACTTGACCAAGCCACCCAGGTGCCCCTAGTATTCAAGTTCTCCATGACAAGGAAAGGTCACAAGAGGATAAAGGAAATCTATGAGTCTATTTTTAGCCAATAAATACTTTCTTTTTGACACGTATTTTCCAAACAAAAATGTGCTAAGTTCTTACCCTGAGTCAGCTGCAGCTGTGCTGGACACTAAGGCCTATTAGCAAACAAGACAGACAAATATCTTGCCCTTTAGGAAATTATAATCTGGCAGAAAAGATAGAAACTAAATAAACAATTCAGCAAAACTTAACAGGAACTAGGCCTAACCCCCTTGTAGCAGAGTGAATTCTCCAAAGTTGGACACACTAATATATACACACAATTCAGTACGCTCTCTCATGACCTAACTGACACTCCTCCATTGATATATGGGGTCCACCACCCTTCCTCTTCAAACCAGGTGGATTTTGTAAAAGCTTTGGCCAACAGAACGTTAGGCAAGTAATACAGTGTGACTTTCAGTCTATAAAAAGTAACACACTTTCCACCAATTCATTAATCTATGGATCTCTCCCCACTCCCTCATCTCCCTCTCTCAACTCTTCCTTTGGAACCCAGCCTGCCATGTTTGTTAGGAAGCCCAGACCACATGGAGAGACCCCACATGGACATTCCAGCCAACAGCAGGTCTCAGCCGACAGACAGCAAGAACCTCTGCTCATGTG